ACCACCTCGCGATTGCCGGGACTAAACTTTGGCTGGACTGGCTCATTTTGCTCTGGGGAAGTTCTAGACCATAGGAACCACAGCTCAAAGGGTTATGCCATAATTACCTCGTTGTATGAATTGCGTGTAAGATTTCGGTCGTTCCAGGTACCCTAAAATTATAGCCTGAAGGAACGTTCTGTTTTAAAGACCAGATACCAGTTGGGAGCGAAATTCAGTGCCAATCCGATCTAATGAGGGGCTTGAAAATAGACCAGGATATTTGGCGACATTGTAGACATTAAGAACGGGATAATTTGTTGTACTTAATTTGCCTAACCATTGTACTGGTCGAGGGTTACCAGGGTTGTTCACGGACGGGCTCGGACGGACGCGGGCCCGGACCCGTCCGCGTCCGAATAATTTTCTCCGATAGAGCGGACGGGCTGGGACGGGTCCGGGACGGGACGGGCTGGCATTTTTTTATGCAAATTGCGCGGACGGGACGGGTCCGCGTCCCGGTCCGGACGGACGCGGACCGGACCCAAAATGAACAACCCTGAAGGTTACTAATCTTTGTCTTTTTTTACGCATTGTTCATGAGATCAGCCCCGTTCTTAATTCCTTCTAGTTTCGTCAGATCAGCTCTCATCAGACCCCGGCAATCCCGAGGGACCGATGGATCCGACTCGGCTAGTTTTGGCCCTTTCAAAAAATGTCTCACCGCCATTTGAAGACGCATCACGATTCTCGCAATATCCGATGGAGATTGACTATGGCGCTCTGGTTCACCCGGCATATTTGGAGGGGTATTTCTTGTTATTTATGGTATGTTTTAAGCATCAAACATCATCATCAAATATACCCCATTTTCAGCAAATTGAAGCCATTTTGTTTGCCTTGATGCTCCTTACCTTTATTCCGTTCTTGATCATTCTAACAACGAAACGAGTAAGGTTTTGTTCGGGGATTTTTCGTAATTTACTGAAGGTATATGTAGAGCCAGCCACGGGCCTCCAACATCAATTATTTCTAAAGGCCCGGAAGCCCTAATATTTCCATCTACTAATTCCAGATTTTCCACCCAAATCTCACCGTCCTGCTCCTCTCCCAACCTACCGTCATCGCAATTGCCATCGGAATTCGATTACTGAAACATTACCTCCAATATCAGGGCCGTCTGACCGACCCGAAAATTTTTCAGCTCATCTCCTACGTCACTGAATCAAGTATGTCATTTTTTGCTTTTACATAGCGGTTTTAAGCCGCCTCTATATCTATCCACATGACCTTTGGAATTGCGTTTAACGCTATATTTCCATGAAAAACTTGGAAACCTATGAGGAAACGCATACGACAACTTGGTTAGCCGTGAAAATTATCTTTATCTGGGTATTTTGGATTATCTGATAGCATTTGGGCTTTCAGGGCCTCTGTAATTTTGGGGAAATCGCAATTATGTATCTACATTTGGTGCCGATCTCTTTTACACTTGCTAATGGGTATACGTCACAGTGTTTCGCGATATTTGTGAGTAGCAGTTTTTGGGACAGGAAAAATGGAATTTCTAGTTTTTCGTCTGGCTCTACTTTGCTTGTCGTCGAAAATATTACGTGATATACGGGATTAAGAATTCGACCATAGAAGGAAGGTATCTTTCCCAAAAGTTTTAAAGGGTGGGTGGACTGCTTTGAAAATGGATTCTGTTCGTAATTGGCTTGTGAAAATATTGCTTCGTTTTTCTGAATTCACATAGAGCAAATTTCGCAGGGAATTTGGAACTTGTCGAACGCCTGGGCACATTCAAAGAAAATTTAGATAAGTTAATGGGCTCTCTATTTATCGCCTGCGTAAAATCACAGAAATAACTCTTTAGGTACAACACCCAAACAAACTACAAAGCTTCCAAAACCCTACTTCGCCTGGCCCCATTCAAAGTATTTGGCTCGGTCTCAGTAATCCTGTTATACCACTTTGGCATCTCGCATTCCCTATTCGTCCAAACATTCTGGACATTTATCTTCTTCCATACCGTCCAGGCCCAAATCACCATCCAAATGTGGCTAATTATCTTCCTGGAACCGCAGGCGCGACGGAATTTTCTTCGTAAATTTATACTAGGCGCACAGGTATCGTAGTGCAGTGTTAATATCACTTTTTTGTGTACTGATTTATGGTATGATTAATATAATTCTTTCTCTTTTCAGCGCCACAGTAGCCCTCTAAGGACCGTAGAGGGCAAATCACTGCAACATCACCCGGAAGTCGAACGAGAGATTCATTTCCGGCAACTCGAGAAATCGTGGCAATAATAAAAAAATAAACCGAGTACCAACGACGCCAAAACACGGTTGGAACACCCTGGGGATCGTCTATTTGCCAGCGTGGCCACTGAATTATATGAATTGCGATTATCAGTCTCGGGGGAACTCAGGAGAAGTGTTAGTCATACTTGAATGACCTAATGATCATCTCCAATATAAGTAGCTTTGGACTCGAAATTTGGTACACTAAACTCCTGATTGGATGTCCCGAAAAACAAAATTAAAAAATCTGGATTTCACGAAACCCGAAATATTTATCTGGGCCGTCTGGGTCGTCAGAATCTTGCCTAAATGCAGAGCACAACAATCGTAAGATTTTTGTACCGTAAAAAGCGTGGATTCCACGGTAACAGACAAGGTCTGCTTGCTTGAGCAGGATTTTGATTTTCTCCCGGGACCACTTCTCCGCGATTTTGTATCATCCAGTCGTGGGGCAGCATTTTATCGGATTTTTATTATTGCTCAGTTGCTGGGCTCTCTATACAAACTCAAGTATTAATAAAAGAATCTACTTACGTAATGGAAGCGGTGCTCTCCAAAATTTTTGATACCACGAAAAGTTCAACAACGGCGGGCCAGCGGAATCTCCACGATTCATGAAAATCAAAGTATATCAATGAAATTATCCCGACCCCATATTAAATTGAAATTCCCTGGGGTTGGAGGGAAAGATCGAGTCATACATTTCTGCCCCCATTTTCGCCAGTACTTTCTGCGTTTCAAAGTGGTGCTGCTTCGGAGACTCTCTTCTCAGGAGGAAGTTTCTTGCATTTAGATTCTAAATCTCGCCACATCTCGCCTCTAATGGCATCCGAAATTGAATATGGATGGTTGGTACACCCGGCGTATCTGGAGGAGTACTTTACGTACCTTATGGTAGTTTTGGATAATTCAGCCATTTTAAAAAAGCCGGTTTAGATGATCGAACTTCTGGTTGTCTTAATATTCTTGATAACTCTTGTGCCTTTTTGTTATTTGCTGACCTTGAAAAGGGTAAGAATGGCATTATACAATTTCAAGCGACTAATTGATCTTTGCTAGTTTACCATGAAATACCACTTTAGGTCTTCCATCCAAACCTTACAATTCTTCTGCTCTCCCAACCCACCGCAGTCACAATTGGTGCCGCCCTCAGAATGACCAAACATTTCTTACAAGTTATTGGTCTCCTTACGAACCCGTCCCACTTTCAGTTCTTTTCGTATCTCACGGAAACATGTCAGTTTTAGTTTGCTTTTTATGTGTTTTTTAAATTTATCTTTTTACGGCTTTTTTTCAAGTATCCGCTATCTCCCTTCATATGACTTTCGGAATCGCTGTTGAGCGCTATATTGCGACCAAAAATCTCGAAACTTATGAAGAGACTCATCTGGATAACCAGCTGGGCCGAAGGATTATTTTTATTGCCGTAAGTTAACGATATAAATGGGTTTGAAAACAAGGTTCAGGTTTGTATAAATTTTGCCGAATTGACAATTCTATATTTGCACGTGGTACCCATCAGCTTTACCTTATTTAATGGATACCTTGCCCAAGCTATTGCTATTTCAGTAAATACGTCTCTAGTGCATAAAAGGGTGATTTAGTTTTTCCTATGGCTATACTTCGGATGCCGTAGGAAGTACTACCTCGTACAAAATATCAAACATTCAACTGTACATGAACGGTGGGCATAAATTTACTAAGGCCTATGCTAAGTTTTAGGCTTTTACTTGTGCAAAAGGCTTAGCCTTACTAGTAGCTCAATCACGTTAAGCATTTTCAGATGGAACACTTTAACAAACTACAAAGCTTCCAAGCTTCTCCTCGGCTTGGCGCCTTTTAAATGCTTAATATCAATCTCCCTAATTATGGTCTATCAATTCTTCATCTTCCACTCCTTATACGTCCAAACATTCTGGACATTCATATTTTTCTACATGGTTGAAGGCCAGATAATTGTCCAAATGTGGTTGATCATGATTTTCGAGCCGCAAATCCGCCAGCAATTTGTAAAAAAATTCCTTCCGCGCTGTCAGGTACACAAAATACTTTTTTAAAGTTCTCCACAAAAATCATTTAATGAATGAATCCAATCAAATTAATATCGCCTAGTCATCATTTAGAACCGGAAGGTATCTGTACTAAGAAATGTGGATGGTACAAAGCTTCAGTACGACCTCGAGCAGCAAAATGACATTTATTTTCAGCAGTTGCGGGATATGTGGACGAAATAAATAATTTTACAGGTTATTAAGACACTGGAAACGAACAGCTATTAGATTCCAAACCACTAAACTTGATTTGTGGTAAACTGGGGCCAGGTGCATTGTACGAAAAAACCTGGAGGAAATTTAACACTAAACCATCCCCATCTAATTTTTACAAAAAATTGGTTTTTGTGTTGGGATCAGATAAAGTAGCGGGCTTGTCTTTTAAAAACCTTTCTGTTATTTCGGCAGGTGGAAAATGGTGGCTAGAAGGTTGAGATGAAAAAAATTATGTTGCTGTGTTTTGACATCGCCTAACAAGGAGATGCTCTCAGCTGGGAATCGAATTCGGATTTGAAAATTCAGCACACTTATAGAGCTCGACGAGACAAATCGATTGGTGTAACTTTCAGCTGCTGATACGATAACCACGCCGAGTTATAAGCATTTTAAGTTTTTGCATACATTTTGCATGATTTCGGCCATAGCTTTGCTTTGCTTTCTGAGGACCTTGCATAGCTTTTTACGCATTATTTGAACTCCTCTGGTGCGAAATTGCTAAAAAACATCTCTTCGAAAAAATTTAGATGTTTTACCCGAAAGGACTATGCCGGTCCCAAAATAAATTGAAAATTCAAAGCATATCAAAAATCGTGGAGTAAACGTAAATTTGGTAAATAGTGTGTTATCCGAACAAAAACTTTCATCCGCGAAAATTTTTTGGAAATGGTAGTCATAGGTCGGACAAGGGCTCGATGCCCAGCAAGAAAAATTTTTGCGGTGAAGTTCGATGTTGTCGGCGCATCAAAGGAGTTAAAATAATGCGTAAAAAGCTATGCAAGGTCCTCAGAAAGCAAAGAGGAACCTTCGGACGAAAAAGCAAAAAATAAAAATCGTGAGCGGGTTCGAACCCTCGTTAGATTCCCCGGGAGGACGCCTCTACACCACTAAGCCACCAGACCATGGTGATGGGGGAGCCTGTGAAGGCATAAGGAAGCTATGGCCGAAATCATGCAAAATGTATGCAAAAACTTAAAATGCTTATAACTCGGCGTGGTTATCGTATCAGCAGCTGAAAGTTACACCAATCGATTTGTCTCGTCGAGCTCTATAAGTGTGCAAATTTTCAAATCCGAATTCGATTCCCAGCTGAGACCATCTCCTTGTAAGTTGGACCTGTTTTGTTGGAGGTATCATTATGGTATCCCCTTCTATTAAGAAAACAACAACTGTTTTTGATTATACAGGTTTTAATGAAGATTTTATCGAAGTCTATTTGCCTAGCACTAAAAACAAAAGCAGGCTTTGTTTAGGTAAACAGCTTTCCAAAAATATGCCTGAAGGTTGAGCTCGGTTTTTCTAATCCTCAGCATGATCACCGTACCTCGCCTGATCAGGGTTTGTTTGGGAAAGCACGACAGGTGTTTTATTTGCCAGGAGCCAGAAGTGTCAGGAGCCGAGAGCTTCATTGGTAAACCGGCAACTTTTTTTTTAGTTGAAGCAACACTTCCTAGAGATTAGGAGGCATTTCTGGTATATTTTATAACGCGAAATATTCTAAGATACCATAGCAGTGTTTATCAACTTCAGAATTGCCAGTTGGCAGGCCATTTATGTTCTATTTCACCTATCAATTAGTCGCCCAAAAAATCCCATTTACACGCATTGTCCTGAATTATTTGACATCATTATTTTGTTCGTTTAAACCTGACTTCCGGCTTGACTTGATTTATAGAATTTTTCCTTTTTGAACTAACAATGACCGGTATAATCCAAGGAGCGCTCGTCCATCCAGCGTATTTCGAGGAATATTTTCTATACCTAATGGTAGGGAATCTAGAGGATTTTTGCATGTTTCGACTTTTCAGATAGGCGAGTTATTATCAGTTATATTATTAACCATTTCTTTCCGAATATTTCGCTATTTGTTGAAAAGAAAAAGGGTAGGGGAGAGGACATTTATAGAATATTTTTTGCCAGTTGTTTCACCCGAATTTGCGCTTTATTTTACTATGGCAATCCAAAATAATAATGGCGAGCTCGACCTGCCGGCTATTTCGTCATGGGTGGCAGATTTACTGCGTTATTGACGTGAAAACGTATCGATTTATATCATGGCTGAGTGATTATCGTAAGTGAGCGTACTTGAGCGTACTATCAGGAGATAAATAAATATGTAATTTATGCCCTTTATTTCAGTCTCCGGACTTTCATTAGACATGAACTTCGCGATCGCCATCGAAAGATTTGTAGCTATGAAATGCCTAGACACCTACTACGATAAGCAAACCACCCCGAAATTTTCCATCTGCATCATCATTTTTCAGGTAGGTACTATCTTCTTCATTGTTAACTCTTCAGGTATTACTAAGCTCACTTGCAGGCACTATCATTCTTCATCCTAAGCGGCTCACTTTATATAAATCAATTGGAGCCGAATCGCTGGGGTCTTTATCCAAGCTTATATATGTCAATTATTGGATTGTATGACAAAGTAGGTTAATTTATCGTATTTTATTAAATTAAAACCTACTTTAGTTCTTTATCTGGCTATTTGTAGCATGCAAAAGTTTATATCGTAGGGTATTTTCGGATCGATATACAACGATTGATGCGAGGTACCTTCACTCAATAAGCGTTTGTCATATTTAATGAATTTTTATAATACTGCTTGATTCCTTTAGGTACAAATCCCAAATAAATTACAAAGCTTCCCGTCTTTTTCTATA